TGACAATGATACTTTGGAGCTTAGCCAGAACATTACCTTTTATTCCAAAAATTATTTGACTGTGGCGTTGGGTTGAATCTAGCCTATGCGGAGTTGCCCGAAAACGCTAACATCCAGTTTTCAGGGATACAGTATTTTGAACCTAACTTCCGTCTCCGCTCAGGCGTCTTTCTACACCTGCTACGTTAAGTTAGATTGAATCAAATGTCAACTCTTTATGCCTCAGTATACAGCTGTATACAAAAACATGTTTGATAATGTTATGTAGCTCCTAACTAGAGGCCTTTCTGAATCATATGACAGAATCTTGAGGTTAAGAATGCAAACACTGAACTAAACACCGCAAGACAGACATATCAATCAAATCAAGACTCCACATTTGCCATCTTAACTGCCAGGATGCATTGTCAAAATTGTTTAGAATGTTTTTTATTGTATTCAAAAATCAGCATCAGATATGCAGGAGGGTGCCAACTGAACAATATCAGATTTGATAGCATTTGGTTAAAGACGCTATGCACATCAAACAGATAATGATGAATAACCGTATGTCTTCCTCAATCCAAATGGTTTCTAGATTGCAGCAGAATTGAAATCCGGTCTTGATATATTGAATTTTGAATGAACTGAGAACAATATCAGTGCAGTGATGTTTCATATGATCCTTTTTGATTAGTGTGAATTGGTGCTGCTAGTCTGACAGTATACAACCAAGGCCAACATCATTGGTACCAGCCGTCTGAAAGACTACTGTAAGCACAAAACAGCCAGCTTAATATTTGACTTTGGTTTTACAATCCTACAGAAGCACAATACGCTTCTTTTTTACACAATACAATCCTTTGTCTAATCTATATAGACTAGGTTTAACACTCTTATTCTTAAAAACTTCCGTAATAAAGACTTACTGGGAGAAAAGACTGCTTTCACTGCTGCATATCTGGGAACTGAAAGATAATACTCTAAAGTGATGTAGCTTAAATAGATTTTTACTCTTAACTGTATAGTTTTGAGCTAAATCATGTTGTTGATGAGTTCCATTGGTGATTCTTTGCTGTTTCTTGAACAAATCTGTTACTGAGTGCAGTGTTTAATCATGCAGTTTGTTGTTTTTATGATGTGGTGGAAACACTTTGTTGTGATGATGATGATGATGATGATGATGATGATGATGTAGTATTCTTTGGACGAGGTGTGATTTTAAAGAAGCACACTCCATATTGTAGCAGTATACATTTTCAAAGGCCTTGCTTTGTTAACAGGTTGATCACTGAATAGGCTTGAAACGTTACGTACCATCCAACAGTACCACTCCTCATGATGACTGTAGATTGATTTTTTATCCATTTTGTATTTACCAAATGGTGGTTTTAAAAAAATATATAAGAATCAAGTTATCTGAATAACTGCCCAATATGAGTAACCTGAAACCAGCTGCCACCACTGTAATGTACCACCACCTACGGCATTCAGTGGTTGATAACTTGAAAGGCAATGGCTTGTTGTTGGGGCTAAGCGTTACTGAATATTTAGCTGTTTTCTAAGCATGATGTCGAACTCTACTTAACCTTTGAGTTTACAACTGTAACTCAGCTTTTAGATGAGACTACTTTACCTGTATTAAATTGCATTTCATGAGGAGTGTTCTCTTGGCCTCTTCTCATAAATGGGAATGTAAGTAACTAGAACTCTGGGTGTTAGTGTTCTCTCTATACTAATGCCGCCAGAGCTACCAGTTGGCTGGTAATGTTGTCATATCTTTCTGGAAAGAGCTGATCTTTGTCCCATTGGCTGAAGTGGAAGAGGATAAGTATTGATGGTAGATCAACAGCAGAACTAATGGAAGCATTTCTTATGCCCCGTTTATACCTGGTTCTAACATGCGTCCTTTGTCCTGATTGTGTCCACATCCTGATTGTGCCCACATTTGTAGACCGGTGTATACAATCAAAACACACATTATGATCTAATTGTGTGGGCACAATTAGAATGTGGACAAGATCAGGACCAAGTATGCATGTTTAGCGCCAGGTATAAACGAGGCTTCAAAATCCCTGATGTGGCTAACAGAACCCAATATTCTATTAAAATGAACCTTCAGAATCTGTCCCTGTTGTTTTTACATGTATGATGATGACAAAGTGTTGTTTGCATTATTACCACTGGCAGAAGATGATGTCCTCCCAACTCTTACTGTTACAATGATCAGTTGACAATGGTTTTTATCAATTGTAGCATGTTATAATAAAAAATGATTTATCTTTTTAATTCTGTCTTTGCTGTCATTTCTTTACTCAACAGGAAGGAGCAATGATAGGTAATGAAATCATGTAAACTGTATTTCAATTCAATCAAATCATTCCAGGTCTCTATTAATATGTTTACACCAGCTGTGTGTGACATGCAACGACGCAGAGAGATGATTTATAAAATGAATCCCTAATTTCTCATATCTGAAGCAGCTCATGGAATGCCGGGGATTTTTTTAAAAACATTTTAGTCATATAGCAGATGCTCTTATCCAGAGCGACTTACAGTTAGTGAGTACATACATTTTCATACTGGCCCCCTGTGGGAAACGAACCTGCTTGCCATGCTCTACCAACTGAGCTACACGGGGCCCTACACGGGGAACGTTATACCTCTCTCTCTCTCTCTCTCTCTCTCTCTCTGTCTGTAGTGTATACTCAGTGGTGGAAAGTACTTAAGTAAAAATACTTTAAAGTACTACTTAAGTAGTTTTTTGGGGTATCTACTATTTTTGACAACTTTTACTTTTACTTCACTACATTCCTAAAGTAAATAATGTACTTTTTACTCAATACATTTTCCCTGACACCCAAAAGTACTCCTTACATTTTGAATGCTTAGCAGGACAGAAAAATTGTCCAATTCACACACTTATCAAGAGAACATCTCTGGTCATCCCTACTGCCTCTGATTCTGTGGACTCACTAAACACATGCTTCGTTTGTAAATTAAGTGTTAGAGTGTGCCCCTGGCTATCTGTAAAAATAATATATATGCAAATAGAACCATCTGTTTTGCTTAAGGAATTTGAAATGATTTATTCTTTTACTTTTGATACTTAAGTATATTTTAGCAATAACATTTACCTTGATACTTAAGTATATTTGAAACAAAATACTTTGACTTTTACTCAAGTAGTATTTTATTGCGTTACTTTTACGTTTACTTGAGTCATTTTCTATTAAGGTATCTTTACTTTTACTCAAGTACTCAAAAAAGAAACGATGTGATAAATCCCAATACTTTCTGACCTTGTTTTCTGTCCCTCATTCCCACTTATCTAAATTATACAATAGGAAATAGCTAATAGGCAATCGTCAGAGGGTAAAGGACAAGAGCTAAGGAAAGGAATCATCTTCAAAGTATTGGGATTCATCCCATGTCTAAGCAAGAAGTTGAGTCATCCTCAATGAGGCTGGATCTCACCAACCGTCAAACGATCAGCCTGTGAATGCTTTCATCCCAGAAATCCCACAAAGCAGCAGCAGCAGCTTTGCAATATCAGCAGAACACACTGAACTCTAAGACCAGAGACTTGAGTCCTAATGGCTTTGATTCACAGTTCACACCACCAACCATGCCTGGGTTAGGTGGTGAGGACCTCAAATGGATAAAAATACAGAAAGACAAAGAACAGCACATTTACAAGAAGAACATTTGAGTGATGTGGACTTGAGATACAAAAAAAGTCAAAAATAATCAACCAAAGCAAGTTGTGTTTATTTATTTATTTGGGTATGAAGTGCCTACTTTTGTTTACAAACCACGGCATGTCCCCGGCAAGGAATCACTAAATCAATTTGGCCTCAGACTTTATCAAATTTTGTCTAGAATGTGAGCAATGTCAAAACAGAATTAAGGCCAAATAGTAAAACAAGGTTAACCACCTGATATGTACTACATCAAAATACATTTTCTGTAAAGCAGAGGTTTGTGTGCTTGAGCAGCGAGGTTGATAGCACTAATGTGGCCGTTATATAAGGCAACCAAATACAATAGACTTTGGAGAGTTGCTTCTTTAACTACCAGAAATGTCAAATTCCATGTCCTCAAATTCTGACACTTAGTTTCGGTCTAAAAAAAAGATTGATGTGCAATATTGGAAACAAACTTGAGGATTCTGCAGTGTGTAGAATATTAAAAACACTCCAACATGTTGAGAGAAATTGCCTATCAGGAGGCTGACTCCAGTGATTCTTCATCTAATGGTAGAGATGACTGTTCTGTTTTTATTAATGAGCTTTTCACCTAACGCACTAGCAGGTTCGTCACTCAAGGTTATGTACCCTGGGTTCACTTTCATTCCTCTCCAGGTGAGAAAACACTCCCTCTCTTTTCTCTGATCAGCTCGTGTCAGCTTCTCTGTCCACCTGTGTGCCTTTGGTTATCGCTGAGCGGTACCGTTCAAACAATCCCTGGAACTCATTCAATGTAATGTGACATTATTACAGAGCTGAACTATATGCATGTACAGGGTGTCTTTAATTGCAGGTATTCTATTGCGTTAAATTAGGTACAATAGCTGTAACATAGCCTTCATTTTCAATACCAATATTATCAAATAGTTTGTGCTCATGTGCATGACATAATGAATAGAAAAAGTAAATATCTCAGTGTTATTCCTTATCAGCTGCATGTTTTGAAATGAATTCATGTCAACATTACAACCATTCAAATATAAAAATGTATATTTTCATAATATCTTCAACCAATGTAAAATAACATCAAAAGTAAAAAAAAGTGTAAACATCTCGATGCAGTAGCCTACATCTATCCACTAGAGATAGGCTACTGCCAAGCTGCAAGATCATCAATACATGTCATTAAAATGAAAGTCTATCTCCGTGGTGATATGATAATATGAGACTCAGAGACAGAAGCTATTGGTCGCTGGTGAGAGGTATGGGTGAATTCCCTGGTCTCTCCAGTTCTTTGACCTCCACGTTTGTTTGAGGCTCTGACCCCTAACCCTTGACCACCAGTCTCAGGGGCAGAGGCGGAGGAGGGCCAGTATGGGCAGATGGTCCAAGGAGTTGTGCTCGTTGGGTAGCCCGTTGACAGCCTCCAGGTCTGTCTGTCCCACCAGGGACAGTCTGGCCAGCAGCCCTCACCTGGGCAATGAACCCTCTGGGAGGAACATACAACAGGCATGGTGAAGGCCCTGACTTTTCCCTGATGATGTGATCTTAGTCAAGAAAAACTCAGGGCCCTAATCATGGTTACATAATTGCAGCTTGGGAGACTAATCAACTCCACATCTCACTGCACTGCACTGCAGTAAAGCAGACTGCAGCATCTGCAGAGTTCACATTACAAGACCCACCTCATCATAAATAATATTTTGATTGTCAGATCCCACTCTGCTTTAAAGTATACAAATCAATCAACAAATCCTGTGTTGTATGTAGTGTATGTCAACATGTAGTATATTGTGTGTACCTGGCTGTGTGGAAATGTCCCCAGTTCCTGCGGAGTAGAAGATGTAGTCCACAGTGAAGGCTTTTCTGGAGTGACAGGTGGTGATCTCAAGCCTGCCGTCCTCTGTCAGGTAGTGGAAGTAGGCTGACGTCAGCCTCAGACTGTGCTCTATACTGGGCCTGGACTCACTGGTGGGACATGGGGAGGGGGAGAGACACACTGTCACACAGGGCACTGGCTTAACTTCAACTGCTAATTAACACAGACAGTTGCTCCTTGAAGTTGGAGCACTGCACGGACTGCACTGGACAAACAACAAATCATCCAGGGATAGACTTGTCACTTCTCCCTATGAGCAGTTCCACTCGCTTCACGTTAATATTGTACGGGAAGGATTTGTCAACTCTCGTCTCCTAAATTCTCCAAGGCATACAAACAGAGTGAGCAAGACGACGAGAGAGGGACGAGTGGATGCATCCGATTTGCAGACGCTGTTCAAAACAAATTAGAGCTGCGTTGAGCAGCACAGACACTCAACTGTTTGAAAAGCATTAATATTGAAGGTCTGTTGTGAGTCAGAGGAGCTACAGCTGGTACAGTACCTGACAGCATCAGATCTCCTACGGTTACCTGACAGGATCAGATCTCCTACAGTTACCTGACAGCATCAGATCTCCTACGGTTACCTGACAGCATCAGATCTCCTACGGTTACCTGACAGCATCAGATCTCCTACGGTTACCTGACAGGATCAGATCTCCTACAGTTACCTGACAGGATCAGATCTCCTACAGTTACCTGACAGAACTAACTGACTGTAGGGATCACAGGCACTGTGTCTCAACTAAATGATTATTAACACTGAAATGCAACCTGTTCATAGTTGCTATAGCTTGTGCTTCAAAGTCCTGTACAGACAGGTTGGAGATTCCCATGTCAATATCTGGGAGGAGAGAAGAGTATTAACGTCACATTCAGATCAGAGGAAAGAAGCATGCATTTCCTCAGTGTTGGTAAAGGCCTGAGGCCTGAACACTATTTTGTGAAGTGCACCAGTCCCTCTGCAGCAAAGCACCCCCACAGCATGATGCTGCCACCCCCGTGCTTCACGGTTGGGATGGTGTTCTTCGACTTGCAAGCAACCACCTTTTTACTCCAAACATAACGACGGTCATTATGACCAAACAGTTCTATTTTTGTTTCATTTCTCCAAAAAGTACGATCTTTGTCCCAATGTGCAGTTGCAAACCATAGTCTGGCTTTTTATAGCGGTTTTGGAGCAGTGGCTTCTTCCTTGCTGAGAGGCCTTTCAGATTATGTCGATATAAGACTTGTTTTACTGTGGATATAGATACTTTTGTACCTGTTTCCTCCAGTATCTTCACAAGGTCCTTTGCTGTTGTACTGGGATTGATTTGCACTTTTCGCACCAAAGTACGTTCATCTCTAGGAGACAGAACGCGTCTCCTTCCTGAGCGGTATGACGGCTGCGTGGTCCCATGGTGTTTATACTTGCGTACTATTGTTTGTACAGATGAACGTGGTACCTTCAGGCATTTGGAAATTGCTCCCAAGTATGAACCAGACTTGTGGAGGTCTACAATTTTTCTTCTGAGGTCTTGGCTGATTTCTTTTGATTTTCCCATGATGTCAAGCAAATAGGCACTGAGTCTGAAGGTAGGCCTTGAAATACATCCACAGGTACACCTCCAATTGACTCAAATGATGTCAATTAGCCTATCAGAAGCTTCTAAAGCCATGACATCATTTTCTGGAATTTTCCAAGCTGTTTAAAGGCACACTGGAATTGTGATACAGTGAATTATAAGTGAAATAATCTGTGAAATAATCTGTCTGTAAACAATTGTTGGAAAAATTACTTGTGTCATGCACAAAGTATATGTCCTAACCTACTTACCAAAACTATAGTTTGTTAACAGGAAATGTGTGGAGTGGTTGAAAACGAGTTTTAATGACTCCAACCTAAGTGTATGTAAACTTCCGACTTCAACTGTAGCTTCACACAGTTTTGTCTAGCGTAGTAAAGCAACTTGCTGTACAATTATTTGGAGGTAAGCATAAAAATGGCAAAGAAAGGGCATTCAACACAGATTGAAAATTAACTAGAAATACTAAAGAATGATGATGATTGACAGGGAGGAGCTCAACGAACATTCTATAACAGCCCACATTTTATAGCAGCACTCCCTGAACACTAACTGTAAGTCGCTCTGGATAAGAGCGTCTGCTAAATGACTAAAACGTTAAACGTAAACATTATGTTCCCTCCGTAGTAATCAGCTTCAGCCAGCGCTTATTATCCCACAGCAGAAAGATGGGCGTGTAGATGATGAAGCCCTCACCTTGCCTATGGAAATGCTGTCGTACTCCAGCCTGCTCTCCCTAACTAAGCTGTACAGAGGGGACCAGGGCACAGAGTTAATGTCCCCACGCCAGGGGTTGTACAGGAGGTGTGTGTTGGCCACACACACACACAGGCCTCTGGGCTGAGGGGTCTCGTGGGACGCAGTAACAGCACCAAGCCCACGTTGTCCCGGTCTAGCAGTGGGATGCCCCAGCGGAAGTACTCCACTGGGTGTCTGGACAGCAGGGAGAAGCGGTCCTTCTTATTGACCATCGTACAGCCATCAGGCTTCCTGCCTGTCCTCTGCTTGTACTCACACTGGTAACCTGGGGAAGGAAATAGGAAAAAAACATCACAACATCAAAGTAAATGTGACATTTCTCATAAACTGTGCTGAAAATGTACACAATTTCAATATTTTTGAAAGTGAAACAAGTGAAACCGGAAAACCAAGTGGATTGAGAAATTAATTATCTATGCATGTGGCTCCCTCTAGTGGTCATATTAAATGTAACCTCCAATGGCAATATCGCTTGCTTCTTTATGCAGTTTCCATTGTATCATTTTGACAAGCTTTTCAATTTAAAATAGGCTGCGCTACAGCTCAAGAGAATAGGCCTAGTCTTAATTAATCTCCCGTGGGCACACTGGGCATATTCTGCGTGTAGACCAAAGAATCTGCCGGGAGTGAAAGGGATGCGTGGACTGAACAAGCAGCATTAGTTCAGTTTTAGCGGTTTTCGTCACTGGTTATTTGGATGTATCAGGATTGGGCTAAACAAGTGCTTTGCACTTGCCCACACAGATCGCGGAGGGGGGGATTAAGTCTTAACCCTTTACACTGTTGGTGAAACCATAAGGAGAGGAAGTACAAACCAACAACGCTAGACAGAGAGGAATATGCTTAAGCAAAAGGCAGTTTATTAAACACAGAGATAGCTGGTACTGCTCAAGCTACATGCATGGGCCCAATGCATGGACCCAATCAATTGCCTCTTATGGAGACAGTTGAGAAGGATAAAAAACAGAGTTTACAGCATTACTTTATACAATGTAACACAAAGGAAGGGGTCCTTTTTCTAGTCCCTTGATTGGTTCCCGAGGCGTAGGAGGCGGGTCTGCTCTGTCCAGAGTAGAAGCCCCTTTGGTGCACGGCAGAGTCCTCTGCCCTTGGCACCCGACCAGTAGAAAGAAGTGCAGTTTGTGTGTGTGCGTAACTCGTGAGGCATGAGGATGAGTGTGCGTATGCATGGAGATGTGTGTGTGAATGTGTGTATGTTCTCAAAGGAAAGACTCGTGGGGAGCAACCAGATTGTGGCCTGTGGCGTGGGTGTTGTCCTTGAGAAGATATTGGCTCTGTCCATTGTTCTTGCATAGGAACAGCATTGATTGAAAACAAGCTCCTAACATTAAAATGGGTCATGCACAAGATTTTAGTCAGACCAAGCTATAACATTTTAATATTTACTACGACAACACTCATACCTGTATACATTATAAATGATGTCAGAGCTCAGGCTATGCGCATCACAGCCGATATTGGTTTTGACTGACAGCCGTTCTGAATTTGAGAACCACACGCGACAAGAAGTTACCCCCATCCCTCCCGCTAATTGGGCAACTCTTGCAAATGTGTTGTTGTTTGAGTGAGGGAAATGCTCTAAATTAAGATGACTCAATGTATTTTGAAAGAAGAGATGTTTAAAATGATAATAAATACCGCTTTGATGTCATACAAGCAAGTCAAACACCCGTGAGACCAAATGTGCACTTCACATTTCCATATGATAAAACTCATGGGGTGGCAGGTAGCCTAGGGGTTTAGAGAGTTGGGCCTGTGACCGAAAGGTGTCCTTTGCCAAAACATCATACCGTTACCATGGTTACTCCATGATATGAATCTGAAAGAAGTCGATGTAAAAAAGACGCAATAGTCTCTACATGGCAGAATGTTCAATACAATGATATTTACACTTACTTTACCGGTTGTACATTCTGAGTATACAACAGCAAGGGACCAACAGGGGGCAGTACCTAAAGCTTCTAGATAGGGTTTGATCTGTTTTTCATAGTGGTCCTCTTGCACCTCCTGCAGACACATATTCTAAGAAGGCAAAGTTTGACATAATTCCGCAGTACACATCTAACATGAAAATATGCAGTATCATCATCATTTTGATGAGCTCTAAGGGATAATGACTTGAACTAGTCAAAACAGTGCCACTCTATTGTGTTCACTGTTCCTTGTGATGATGATCAATATGTTGGTAAGTCTGTGAATCTATCACAAGCTAATAGATCATGTAAATGGTTGTTCCATCAGTAATGATTCATAACCCATTCACTTACATCTGTGTTGTGCTCTTTGAGCTCTTTAAGGATGTTGGGCAGTTTAGGATGGAGGAGCTACGGTGTTTGTACAGGTAGTTATTGTCGTGGAGCAGGTCCTGAGAGAGGGTGTTATAGGACATCACAGAGAAGTCAAAGGGTGATTCTCGCCTCCTGTCACGTCCGTCGTGTAAAGGATTGGACCAAGGTGCAGCGTGGTATGCGTACATGTTTAATAATAATAATAAACACTTGACAAAATAACAACGCAACTGAACGTGAAGTTCTAAAGGCTATACATCAAACAAGCCACAGAAACAAGATCCCACAACTAAAGGTAAGCAAAATGGCTACCTAAGTATGATCCCCAATCAGAGACAACGATCGACAGCTGCCTCTGATTGGGAACCACACCCGGCCAACATAGATATAGATAACATAGATCTACACATAGATATTCACACCCTGACCAAACCAACTAGAGATCTCTATGTCAGGGCGTGACAGTACCCCCCCCAAAGGTGCGGACTCCGGCCGCAAAACTGACTCATTAGGGGAGGATCCGGGTGGGCTTTTACCCTCTGTGGCGGCTCCGGCTCCGGGTGCGACGTCACCCTTACTGTCCTCTCCTTTTCTGTCTCCCCGTTGCACACCTGGTCCGGTCTGGACCCCGGCGCGATGCTTCCCCTCTCAGTCCTCCCACGATGCACCAAGCCCTGTCTGGACCCTGGTGTGGGAGGCCCCGACCCTGGAGAGGGGCTGACGTCTGGACCGGCAATCCTCCTGTGATGCACCAAGCCCTGTCTGGACCCTGGTGTGGGAGGCCCTGACCCTGGAGAGGGGTTGATGTCTGGTTCTGGCTCTGCAGTCCTCCCGCGATGCACCAAGTCCTGTCTGGACCCTGGTGTGGGAGAGTAGACGACCGGACCCGGACTGGGCACCGGTGGAGTGGACTGCTCTGGCACTGGAGTGGAGCCGCTGACCGGAGCTGAACTGGATCCCAGTGGAGAGGACTGCTCTGGCTCTGGACAAGAGCAGCTGACCGGGGCTGGACTAGGCACCGGTGTAGTGGACTGCTCTGGCATTGGACTGGAGCAGCTAACCGGAGCTGGATTGGGCACCGGTGGAGCGGACTACTCTGGCACTGGAGTGGAGCAGCTGACCGGAGCTGGACTTGGGCACCGGTGGAGCGGACTGCTCTGGCACTGCAGTGGAGCAGCTGACCGGAGCTGGACTAGGCACCGGTGGAGCGGACTGCTCTGGCACTGGAGTGGAGCAGCTGACCGGAGCTGGACTAGGCACCGGTGGAGCGGACTGCTCTGATCCTGGACTGGACCGTACCGGGCTGGGGACATGCACCACTGGTTTGGTGCGAGGAGCTGGTAGGGGCGCACCGGGCTGGCGACACGCACCACTGGTTTGGTGCGAGGAGCAGGCACGGGCCGTACCGGGCTGGGGACACGCACCACTGGCTTGGTGCGAGGAGCAGGTACGGGGCGCACCGGGCTGGCGACACGCACCACTGGTTTGGTGCGAGGAGCAGGCACGGGCCGTACCGGGCTGGGGACACGCACCACTGGTTTGGTGCGAGGAGCAGGTACGGGCCGTACAGGACTGGAGACACGCACCACTGGTTTGGTGCGGGGAGCAGGTACGGGGCGTACCGGGCTGGCGACACGCACCACTGGTTTGGTGCGAGGAGCAGGTACGGGCCGTACCGGACTGGAGACACGCACCACTGGTTTGGTGCGAGGAGTAGGCACGAGCCGTGCCGGACTGGAGACACGCACCACAGGTCTGTGAAAGCGCCCTGGCGGCACAGTGCGCAACGCCGGCGCATAGCCTGGTGCCTACATGGTCACACGCTCCTCAAAGCGAGTGCAGGGAGTTGGCTCTGCTCTGCAACCTGGCTTCGCCAGCCTCTGCTCTAAGTACTGAGCTCTCTGCTGCTGAAGGGTTAACGCCTCTCTCAGCTCCTCCTGTTGCCTGGCCAACTCCTTTCTCAGGGCATCCACTGACTCCTTCTCCCTGTGAGCCTCCTGTAGCGCCTCCCTCTGAAGGGAGAATTCCTGCTCCCTCTGAGCTAACAGCCCCCGCAATGTGGTGGTCTCCTCTCTCAGACTGCTGAGCTGCAGGTCTTGGAGGGCCTCTACTATAGCAGCCTCCTCCTCCTCCACAGTCAGCCTTTTCACGGCCTCCTGCTGCTTTGTCGACCACCCCGTGTGCCCCCCAAATTTTTTTCTTGGGGTTGCCTCTCAGGCCTCCTTCGTCGTTGTGCACTTCGGCGTCGCCGTTGGTCCTCTCCTGCCTGGGCTTCTTCCTTTGCCCAGGGTCCTTTACCGGCTAATATCTCCTCCCATGTCCAAAATGTCTTCCCCACCTGTGTCCAGGGTGTCTTCTCCTCCTGGCCACGCTGCTTGGTCCGTTGGTGGTGGGATCTTCTGTCACGTCCGTCGTGTAAAGGATTGGACCAAGGTGCAGCGTGGTATGCGTACATGTTTAATAATAAACACTTGACAAAATAACAAAGCAACTGAACGTGAAGTTCTAAAGGCTATACATCAAACAAGCCACACAAACAGAAACAAGATCCCACAACTAAAGGTAGGCAAAATGGCTACCTAAGTATGATCCCCAATCAGAGACAACGATCGACAGCTGCCTCTGATTGGGAACCACACCTGGCCAACCTAGATATAGATAACATAGATCTACACATAGATATTCACACCCTGACCAAACCAACTAGAGATCTCTATGTCAGGGCGTGACACCTCCCACCACCAGACTGGGGTCTGGACATATAGAAGTGGGAAAAGTCCTCCCATTTTCTCTTCAGCTCTGGAAATGCACAAACTAAACAATTTGGTTAGCATGTGAATGACACTGCATGACAGGATCCATATTGGACCAAACCTTAAACACTTCAGGTTAATTTCTCTAGCTTAGTCAGATCAAAGAATAACGGTTTTGGCAAGAATAGCAACAGTTTTTGAAACTGAAGTATTACCTAATGCCAGTCTTGATGGACTCCCAGGAGGTGGTGGTTGTTGTTTCCCATCTTTGAACCAGTAATTGGGGCTGGTAGTGGCACTGCGAGCCTGTCGTGGTGGGTACTGTCACTTGGGGGAGCCCTTGGACCTGTCCCTATCCCCTGGACCCCTCTCTTCTGCACTCCTCCTCCACTTGTGTGGAGGCTCTTTGTCTGAGCATTCCATCAGTCCAAGGTGGAAGGGTCGATGAGAAAAGCAGTGAAAAGGAAACCCTGGTGGGGGATGTTGTCTGGACTGTTGTCTTGTCCAGTTGATGTTGTGGGTATCTGGAGGTCGGAAGGCCCCTGAGAGGTGCTTGGTGGGGTGAGAGAGTTGAGGCCAAGGGGGCACACCCGACCGACATGGATAGTTGGGTAATTGTACGTCCCTCCAGCCGCCCAACAGGGTGTGAGTTGGGGGCAACCAGTGTGAGCCAAACGCGGTCAGGTGTTGAGAAAACATGGGTTGACTGCGGGAGAGAAATTACATGCACTCAGCTCAAGTAGGCCTAAGCAGCAATGCATTGCTGGGGCTCCTGTGGATGCGTTCTTCACAAAAGCATACAGTCACTGAATAGCACGATTTGCATAGGCGAATGTCATAAGCTAACTAACTTTGTTGGTGATTATGACTACCACAGCTGGCTAAGTTAGGTAACTAGCATAAACACAATAAGTAGCCGTTAAATTGACTGAAATTAGTGTTTTAACATACTTTTGGTCAGCATTCCGATATACATTTTTATTTTTTAGTCATTTAGCAGACGCTCTTATCCAGAGCGACTTACAGGAGCAATTAGGGTTAAGTGCCTTGCTCAAGGACACATCGGCAGATTTTTCACCTAGTCGGCTCGGGGATTAGAACCAGCGACCTTCCGGTTACTGGCACAACGCTCTTAACCACTAAGCTACCTGCCGCCCCATGGTTTAGGTTTTGATGTCGAGACATCTGCAAACATCAGTGACTTCTACAACACAGCGAGGAAATGTTTCTGCCCAAAACAAATCTGAATCTTTAATAGCATTTCAGTAGGCCATTTTCGAGTCCTCAAATTATTACATATGTAAACATGATGCAATAATCAAGCGCAAAAAGATGATCTCCCATTATATCCCAACAAATACAGAATAGAAAATGTAAAACTGGAGAACATCGAAACTCTTCGCATACTCTTGCTGCGTTCACGTTCTAGTCGGAAGTATTCAGACCCCTTGACTTTTTCCAAATTTTGTTACGTTACAGCCCTGGATTAAATTAAACATTTTCCTCATCAATCTACACACAATACCCCATAATGACAAAGCGAAAACAGGTTTTTTGAAATCTTTGCAAATTTATACAAAATAAAAAACAGAAATATATTATTTACATAAGTTTCAAACCCTTTGCTATGAGACTCGAAATTGAGCTCAGGTGCATCCTGTTTCCATTGATCATCCTTGAGAAGTTTACACAACTTGATTGGAGTCCACCTGTGGTAAATTCAGTTGATTGGACATTATTTGGAAAGTCACACACCTGTCTATATAAGGTCCCACAGTTGACAGTGCATGTCAGAGCAAAAACCAAGCCACGAGGTCGAAGGAATTGTCCGTATAGCTCAGAGACAGGATTGTGTCGAGGCACAGATCTGGGGAAGGGTACCAAAACATTTCTGCAGCATTGAAGGTCCCCAAGAACCCAGTGGCCTCCATCATTCTTAAATGGAAGAAGTTTGGAACCACCAAGACTCTTCCTAGAGCTGGCTTCCCGGCCAAACTGAGCAATCGGGGGAGAAGGGCCTTGGTCAGGGAGGTGACCAAGAATCCTCTGGCAGAGCTCCAGAGTTCCTCTGTGGAGATGGGAGAACCTTCCAGAAGGACAACCGTCTCTGCAGCACTCCACCAATCAGGCCTTTATGGTAGAGTGGCCAGACTGAAGCCACTCCTCAGTCAGAGGCACATGACAAAAGGCACCTAAAGTATTCAGACCATGAAAAACAAGATTCTCTGGTCTGATGAAACCAAGATTGAACCCTTTCGCGTGAATGCCAAGCGTCATGTCTGGAGGAAAACCTGGCACCATCCCTATGGTGAAGCATGGTGGTGGCAGCATCATTCTGTGGGGATGTTTTTCAGCAGCAGGGACTGGGAGACTAGTCAGGATCGAGCGAAAGATGAACGGAGCAAAGTACAGAGAGATCCTTGATGAAAACCTGCTCCAGAGCACTCAGGACCTCAGACTGGGACGACCCAGGAAAACGACTCTAAGCACACAGCCAAGACAACGCAGGAGTGGCTTCAGGACAAGTCTCTGAATGTCCTTGAGTGGCCCAGCCAGAGCCCGGACTTGAACCCGATCGAACATCTCTGGAGAGACCTGAAAATAGCTGTGCAGTGACGCTCCCAATCCAACCTGACAGAGCTTGAGAGGATATGCAGGGAAGAATGGGAGAAACTCCCCAAATACAAGTGTGCCAAACTTGTAGCATCATACCCAAGAAGACTTGAGGCTGTAATCACTGCCAAAGGTGCTTCAACAAAGTACTGAGTAAAGGGTCTGAATTCTAATGTAAATGTGATATTTTCATTTTGAAAAGGGGCATGAGGAAGGCCCTACAGTCAATATTATGTTTTTTGTAAGTAGACACTCAGTAGCAGGCAATGTTGAAAAGTAATCTTTTGTACTTTTCTTAAATTTAGTTTTGTAATTGACAAAAAAAAGAAGACAACAAGAAAATGGTGTTTGAAAAAGGTGAACTGATTACCAGGACGTGTACTCAGAGCATGCGCGGACCAACTGGCAAGTGTCTTCACTGACATTTTCAACCTCTCCCTGACCGAGTCTGTTATACCTACATGTTTCAAGCAGACCACCATAGTCCCTGTGCCCAAGAAAGCGAAGGTAACCTGCCTAAATGACTACCGCCCCGTAGCACTCACGTCGGTAGCCATGAAGTGCTTTGAAAGGCTGGTCATGACTCACATCAACACCATCATCCCGGAAACCCTAGATCCACTCCAATCCGCATACCGCCCCAACAGATCCACAGATGACGCAATCTCAATTGCACTCCACACTGCCCTTTCCCACCTGGACAAAAGGAACACCTACGTAAGAATGCTGTTCATTGACTACAGCTCAGTGTTCAACACCATAGTGCCCACAAAGCTCATCACTAAGCTAAGGACCCTGGGACTAAACACCTCCCTCTGAAACTGGATCGTGGACATCCTGACGGGCCGCCCCCAGGTGGTAAGGTTAGGCAACAACACATCTGCCACGCTGGGGCCCCTCAGGGGTGTGTGCTTAGTCCCCTCCTGTACGCCCTGTTCACCCACGACTGCGTTGCCAAGCACGAGTCCAACACCATCATTAAGTTTGCTGATGACACAACAGTGGTAGGCCTGATCACCGACAAAGATGAGACACCCTATAGGGAGGAGGTCAAAGACCTGGCAGTGTGGTACCAGGACAACATCCTCTCCCTCAATGCGAGCAAGACAAAGGAGCTGATCGTGGACTACAGGAAAAGGAGGGCCGAACAGGCCCCCATTAACATCGACAGGGCTGTAGTGGAGCGGGTAGAGAGTTTCAAGTTCCTTGGTGTTCACATCAACAACAACTATCATGGTCCAAACACACCAAGACAGCCGTGAAGAGGGCACGACAACACCTTTTCCCCCTCAATGAAAAGATTTGGCATGGGTACCCAGATCCTCAAAAAGTTCTACAGCTGCACCATCGAGAGCATCCTGCCCGGTTGCATCACCGCCTGGTATGGCAACTGCTCGGCATCTGACCGTAAGGCGCTACAGAGGGTAGTGTGTACAGCCCAGTACATCACTGGGGCCAAGCTTCCTGCCATCCAGGACCTATATACTAGGCAGTGTCAGAGGAAGGCCCAAAGAATTGTCAAAGACTCCAGTTACCCAAGTCATAGACTGTTCTTTCTGCTACCACACGTCAAGCAGTGCCGGAGCGCCAAGTCTAGATCCAAAAGGCTCCATAACAGCGCCTACCCCCAAGGCATAAGACTACTGAACAATCAACCTAGGGATAGTGAAATGCTACATGTTAAAAAGGTGGACTTTGTATTATTTATTGCAATGGTCATAAACTGTACAGCACAAGCGGAGAAGAAGTCTAAGAAAATTGAAGTCATTGAAGGCAGCTGAAAGTTTTTTGGGTCTTCGTGATTTCACAGTCAAGGCCATGCAAGAAATCCTGTCTGTGAATGTTCCGCCATCACAGGCCCCTGAGCCGTGTAGGGATGTATTTTGGAGTGGACTGTGATTGATGAAGTGGGATGGGTTTTGTTAGTTGACGTGTTTAATTTTGTATGATGTCGTTTTTTCCCCCCTTCCCAAAAATGTTTTTTTATTTTCTCATTCAATACCTCATCCAGCTGGTGGCGGTAATGCACCATTAATATTGGATGCCAACCGCCGTTAAACCCAATCGAAGAAGATGATCAGAGGGGAGGGACCACAGGGACCGTCATGGCCCCTTCCGTCTGTGGGGAAAACAACCGGTGGTTACCTAGGTTATCCCATAGCAAAAAGTTCACCTTTTTCAAACACCATTTTCTTGTTGTCTTCTTTTTTTTGTCAATTACAAAACTAAATTTAAGAAAAGTACAAAAGATTACTTTTCAACATTGCCTGCTACTGAGTGTCTACTTACAAAAACATAATATTGACTGTAGGGCCTTCCTCATGCCCCTTTTCATGATGGTGCTAGCAGCCACATGAGTGAGTGAGTGCTAGCTAGCTACCAACCGGTCTGGAACATTAAGCTAGCCAAGACCAACAACACAAGCAAATTGACTATACAGCTACAAGTAGTGTACAAACACACTATACCAAACCAAGTTAAATGTATGTCTTACCTGTGATTAAATGTTTTCCACACACGTACTGTAGCTACGTGTAGCCTACTTGGACACCTGGTCGCCACATTTCCCACTCTCCCATGCTGAATAGCCTGAAGCCACAGGGCTCTTCTCGCAGGGTCTATTTCCCTATGTGGGAGGATTGCGAACCGTAGAACAGGATGTACATTGAATAACGCAGCAGCTATTCGGCATGTTTTGTTATTTCTGTATAACTATAAATTGATGACAATGTTGGCTCTGTTACAATGGGGGTCAATGGGAAAGAATGTTTGTTTTCCCCAATTTGTGGGCATGGTCGAGGGGAATTCCTTATGATTATGATGTCTACTTGGAGTATAGAATACCACAATATGAGTCATAATACCCATAAAACCTAGCGGTCAAACAAGGAAATGGTTCCAATCGTTTTTCCACCATTAGTTTTTCCCATAGGGGATTTTAGAAACACTTAAAATAAGGGCTGTGTTTCATGTAGGCTTACCCTGGTGTGATGTTTTGATAACTGTAAATCTCTCTAGGACAAAGTGACTTTTATCAATGTATTTGCCTGTATTTACCCCCCTAAAATGAAATACTAATTAGCTGCTAATGTGGCTATCATAAAGAACTACAAATGCCGTGATGATCTGGACGAGACTGCCAAATCGAGGCAAAGCATTTTCTAATCTGAGAGTAAATAGAGACAAATATATTGATGAAAGTCACCTTGTCCGAGAGAGATTTACATGGTTATCAAAATGTCACGCCAGGGGAAGCACTGTTTGACCGCTAGGTTTTATGGGTATTATGACACCTCCACTGTGGGGCTCTATTGGCGTTCGAAACAACTAGGAACTCAGAAATCTCAGACTTCTGACTTCAGTGTGTTCAAGATAACTGGGACCTCGGAAAAAAACTAGCTCTGACTGGGAAATATTGTTTTGAATGATCATCCAACTTGGAATTCCAAGTCAGAAACTCGGGCATCTTTCTAGAGTTCTGACTTAAAGATCACTGACGTCATGATTTGACCTCGTTTTTTGTTGTCTTGAATTCCATCGGGAATACCATTATATTCTTCTGATTTCAGAGCAAATAATCATAATTAGCCAAATGTTTAGCTGACATCTGCATGCGCTCGATGAAGACTAGCCTAGTCCATTGACACCCTTTTGTACCCAAATAATAAATAATAATGGCACTCTCTAGCATTAAACCTCTGTTAACTAATCTCTGATAGCGTGACATAACATCATATCTGCGAATGATCCTTTTCCCATGGAAGTTAGCCAGGCAGGCATATTCATTTGAGTGAGCGGTTATTATGCTATTTATTCTCAAATCTTAACCCTTTTGCAGTCAATACTTCTTGCCGTTCATCTGTCTTTGTAAACCCATGATGTGTCACAGCACCGCCCTGTAAGATGCTGGTAATGCTGACCGAGGTGCCAGTGCTGTGCTGGTACCAGTCACATCTAATACAATTTAAATAGTTGATTTTGTATCATTTAAAAAAATGTATACTAATTACACAGACTAATTCACAATTTTAGTTAAATCAGGGAAGGGGCCATCCAACCTTCACCATTATAAAATGTTATCAATATATTCTAGTTTAGGCTACATAGGCTACTTATCACTGCTGAACACAAAACGAATTAACAAAACATTTCTGTATTTCTTTTATTTCCAGTTTTGACATTGCAGCACTGGCTATTACAGTGTGTTTGTGTTTCAGCATCATAGACGTGTGTGTGTGTGTGTTTAAGGATCATAGACATTTTGTGTAAAGGTAATCTCCATTTCAATTAAAAATAAATGGGAATCATGAAATTGTTTTCACAAATCCTAAAATAGGATATTGAAATATGGCAATTTGACATGTGCATTAAATCTGCTGTCACAAATTCCAGCATAGCTGCATCCCATCCCATATTAGATCATGATTGAAATGTCATTACGAAGACAGGTTGAATTCTAAGACAGAACTTATACACTTGAAGCAGCAGTTCGAAGAATAGTTGTGACAGACCACATGAGTTTCAATGAAAACAGCAATGAAAAATTGTGTCCCCTGTATTTTGATCTATATTAGCCCATAATAAATGACTTCAGCCCTGCTGAATGTCTTGTTGAACACTTGAATGTGCTGACATCAGTCCAAGTCGCTGCCATCTTATAAAGACTTATCTCAGTGACCGAAAATACCCTTTCCTCTGGTATCCACCTCCTCTCTCCTTTCCCTCCCTCCATCACTCTCTCTCTCTTTCTAAAAGCACTTGGCTATAGTAAGCACTGCAGAAGTTCATGAATGCTCGTAGGGTAGACCTCCTCTACAGGAAGGATTGTGTTGTGGGTGGATCAGGAGAAGGGCATCTCCCATCTCTGGGTGTAAGCTGTCAGTTCACAGGGGCTGATCACCAGCATCTTGCTGCTCTCGATGCCGTCCAGGGCCATCTCACTGTCCAGGCAGAAGTGGGAGACCAGGTGCTCCAGGTGGGTGCCTGACTTCTGCCATCGCTGGAACACAACAGACAATACAAAGATCAATAACTATACTGTACACAGAGACATGCGTTCTAATGTTATTAAACTGCTATTGTCCATTAATTGTTACAGAATGCCATCGGTTCAAATAAATGAAAAAGTTTGGGCAACTATTGTCCAATACTGACCCCGTAATTTTGTCAACTTCATATTTACAGTGAGGGAAAAAAGTATTTGATCCCCTGCTGATTTTGTACGTTTGCCTACTGACAAATAAATGATCAGTCTATCATTTTAATGGTAGGTTTATTTGAACAGAAGGAGACAGAATAACAACAAAAAAACGCATGTCAAAAATGTTATAAATTGATTTGCATTTTAATGAGGGAAATAAGTATTTGACTCCCTCGCAATCAGAAAGATTTCTGGCTCCCATGTGTCTTTTATACAGGTAACGAGCTGAGATTAGGAGCACACTCTTAAAGGGAGTGCTCCTAATCTCAGCTTGTTACCTGTATAAAAGACACCTGTCCACAGAAGCAATCAATCAATCAGATTCCAAACTCTCCACCATGGCCAAGACCAAAGAGCTCTCCAAGTATGTCAGGGACAAGATTGTAGACCTACACAAGGCTGGAATGGGCTACAAGGCCATCGCCAAGCAGCTTGGAGAGAAGGTGACAACAGTTGGTGCGATTATTCGCAAATGGAAGAAACACAAAATAACTGTAAATCTCCCTCAGCCTGTGGCTCCATGCAAGATCTCACCTCGTGGAGTTGCAATGATCATGAGAACGGTGAGGAATCAGCCCAGAACTACACGGGAGGATCTTGTCAATGATCTCAAGGCAGCTGGGACCATAGTCACCAAGAAAACAATTGGTAAAACACTATGCCGTGAAGGACTGAAATCATGCAGCGCCCGCAAGTTCCCCCTGCTCAAGAAAGCACATATACAGGCCCGTCTGAAGTTTGCCAATGAACATCTGAATGATTCAGAGGAGAACTGGGTGAAAGTGTTGTGGTCAGATGAGACCAAAATCGAGCTCTTTGGCATCAACTCAACTCGCTGTGTTTGGAGGAGGAGGAATGCTGCTTATGACCCCAAGAACACCATCCCCACCGTCAAACATGGAGGTGAAAACATTATGCTTTGGGGTTGTTTTTCTGCTAAGGGGACAGGACAACTTCACCGCATCAAAAGGGACGATGGACGGGGCCATGTACCGTCAAATCTTGGGTGAGAACCTCCTTCCCTCAGCCAGGGCATTGAAAATGGGTCGTGGATGGGTATTCCAGCATGACAATGACCCAAAACACACAGCCAAGGCAACAAAGGAGTGGCTCAAGAAGAAGCACATTAAGGTCCTGGAGTGGCCTAGCCAGTCTCCAGACCTTAATCTCATAGAAAATGTGTGGAGGGAGCTGAAGGTTCGAGTTGCCAAACGTCAGCCTCGAAACCTTAATGACTTGGAGAAGATCTGCAAAGAGGAGTGGGACAAAATCCCTCCTGAGATGTGTGCAAACCTGGTGGCCAACTACAAGAAACGTCTGACCTCTGTGGGGGATCAAATACTTTTTTCCCTCACTGTAGCTAAAGATCTTTTTGCATGTCATGTTCATGGCACTGTCACAGTACTCTTCCCACTATTCACCACTAGATGTCCCTCTTTACTCAATTTCTGGTGAGTCACAATAATCATTCAGAGCAGGGAATTATTATTATTCTTGATATTGTCAAACTTATACATTAACAAAACTAAAAGATATTAGCAAACATGCAAGGATTTGGACATTGTCTCACACATCCATCACTGGTTAGAATGTGACGGCTGACAGGCAAAGCCTGTTGCCAAGACTAGTGGGGCATATCATGATCATGTCTCTTCAGTGGTAGAAACAATATAGCGGATATCAAGGGAATCTTCTGGATCAAAAAGGGCTTAGGTTGTGGGCATGGCAGGAGAGTGGCTACATGTGTGAGTAAAGGCTCCCATCTCCATGGTGTAAAGACATTTTTTGCATTTTTGAGCCAATTTCCTGAAACTCCAAAAAATGTATTGCCATGTTGCCGTTTTAAAGCTAATTTCCTGCAATTCTATGCATTTTGCCATGGCTAATGCTGTGCTCTTTTTCTCAAACATAATAACATAATGAATACTGCTAAATTCATTGTTTTGGGAATTTTCAATTCTCCCTGACTGTCTACCTTTTATTTTGGTGATTGTTAGTTCTCAAAGATTACATTATAAAAAAAACAAGATATAGGTCCATTATATTTTCGACATACTTTATATCTGGTTTTAGTAGTTTAAAAATTTACACTGAAAGCATTTTTCCATCCCGAAAAGCGACCTGAAAAAACGCTTAACAAGCTCTGTTACATTGTGGCCCTGATCAAAGCAGGAAAGACTAAAATTGCCATGACATGTTTTTTTCCTTTTTTTATGAAGCAAAGTGAGACTGCACTTTTTAATTGAAAAATAAAAATAATTAAAACTAAATCAATTAGTATTCAGTGCCTGTGGTGCCTCTGAGTCATTATTCTTGTTACTGGCTGTTGATGCACAATTGATAGTTAAGCACATTTGTAGGCTCCTGAGAGCCTCTCTCTGCTGTAGCCTACAGTGGCCTGAGGGGAACACATGAGCACGGCTCTAATTAGCTATCATTGCACAGTTTCCTTCTATGTGCCAGGGGTGGAACATGCTGCTTTGGGGAGCCTTTTTAGCAGGAGGAAGGAGTATATACCTGCGTAACTTCTGATAGTGGGAGAGCTAAAATCTACCTGCCGATATAGAGCTCTAGTATGTAGCACTTACTTATCGATCTACAGTTGAAGTCAGAAGTTTACATACACCTTAGCCAAATACATTTAAACTCAGTTTTCACAATTCCTGACATTTAATCCTAGTAAAAATTCCCTGTCTTAGGTCAGTTAGGATCACCACTTTATTTTAAGAATGTTAA